AGTATACTTTAATCCACTTTGTCATCCATGTTTATTTATTTTTCCTCAAAATAGTTCTCATAGTAATTATATATGTTAAGGAGTTTTCACTCTAATGTACATGATTAATAATGGTATTTCACTTATTTATTATAACTAACTAACTTAACCAATTTTTTTAATATTCAAAAATTAGTTGTCTAACTCTTATATTAAAAATTGGAAATAGTATTAAAACTTGTAGAGTTCATTTGTAATGCATTTCGTATGTTTTTGCCTTTGTAGGTTGTTCCAGCACAGAGTCCACTCAATAATGCTGGAAAGGACACAACCGTGACACTCCCTCCATATTCAATCCTTTGATTTCCCCTCAATGTGATAGACCACTTTTGATTCCCTTAATTTTTTTTTCCTTTAGCTTCCCCGCCCCACCCCCCTTTTTTAGTTTCTTATTTTAGGCGTTAGTTAATTTTAGGTTTATAGTTCTTTGTTTAAGGTTTTAGGGTCAGTTCAGAATTTCACTGACGTAGTTTTATTTCTTTCCCGTCTGTTGTTCTATAAGTAAGATTAATACTTCAAATCATTTCCATAAATAAAAATATTTACTATTTTTCTTGTTACATTTTTTCCATTCATTCGCACTCTTCATTTGATTGAATATTTATTTACTCAACAGTGCGCTTGTATCAATCTCAATCCAAAACATCACATCAGAAGAAATGGTAAACTGAAATTGTACTTTCCCTTTTCGTGTGAAACTGAAAATTAGGTTCTCTTTAGTTAATTAACAAAAGAAAATTAAAGTTACCATTTTCCTTTTTTAATTGACATATAATTGACCAAAAAATTAGTTAACATATAAATGAGGAAGTCTACCTATGTTTTGCGACCATATCAAATATACAAAACGCAAAAGGGGACGTCAAATATAAAAAGAAATTAGTTAACATGCATAATAATGCTCCCCCACAGCCGAATACACCAATAATCAAGCCGTCCACTTGGCACGATATAATATCATTAAGATTAATTTATAATGAATTAAGATTTTAATTCATAATGAATTGCAATTAATAAATATCTCAAAACTTGTTGGTTAAGAAATGAATTTGTCAAATTTTAATGACAAGTTTTCCAATGATATTGCTAATAAAGATTTACGTATTGCATAATTTGACTTGAAAATTAAACGTGAAACATCATACACACAAAATTTTGAAAAATTCGACGATAGAAGGGAATTCTAATTGACCAACAAGCAATTCAATATATATATGATATGGTAATTTATAATACGCGGTGAAAATGTAGAAATGCATGCATTCTCGGCATGTCTCACCTAAAATTGAAGCGGAAAGGGTGTGGCTTACTTGTGAGTTGTGAATGAGTTATTAAGTAAGAAGCAATAATCTATTATAAATGAAGTATCCTTAGCTTGTAGCATCATAATTCATTCTGAAAAAAAAATAAATTAATTAAGAGAAACAATAATGAAGAGATCATCATATGCTGTAATTATGCCCATGCTGGTCGTTCTCATCACCGGGGGTAAGAGAGTTATGTAATTTAACTTTTTTAAGTAATTAACTTGGTTAATTATGTATATGATTTTATTAATGTAATTAAATATTGCCTCCAATCCTTAATATAAGAGCTTGTTTGACTTTTATTTTGATCCTAAATATAAGATCTCAGTCCATTTTGTCTCTTATATTTTTTTTTCTCCTTTCAAGGTAGTTCTTGTAATAATGAGAGTTTTAGCTAACATACTTGATTAATAAAAATATTCTAGGAAAGACAACACATATTTATTACAAGTAACTAACTTAACTAATTTTTTTAATCTATTCAAATTAATCAACTAACTTTTATATTAAAGACAAGAGGCAGTATGATTTTGTGTGGAAAATACCATAAACCCCATCTGTGCAGCAGAAGAATGCAGTGGTTTTGTGCAATCTGGACCGCCTGATGATGATTCTTGCACCTAACTCTGCCAGGCAAGATATGGTAAAGATGCCTGTGGGCAATGTAAAGGGGAGTCACCAACTCACGTTTGTAACTGTATTTCTCGCTGTTGGGTTTTCATCACACTATTTTGTGGCCTTTTTTAATTCAGTATTTCTACTTTTAAATAATTGCAGTTATAGTGCCACAATTTCAATATTATATGTATATAGATATATACACATACGTATATATAACTAATTGCGTTCAGAATAAATTGAAGGTTTAACTATGTCTTTGTACACCTCTCTACAAATTCATTGTTCATTATGGCAGGACACATCTGTGAGGAAGCAAAAAATATGGAATATAAGTGATATAAATAAGGAAAACGAAATTATACACTTCAAATTTCATATTCAGATGCATTTTCACCAACTTCACAAGATACTCATATCCATCGAAGACTTGGCGATATAAATATAATTGAGCAACCTTTTGATTCTAAAAATTCATTCAATAATTTAACAAACATTTCGTACCTATTAGTCCTAAAGGTGGGACGGGTGCAGTGCAACAATACCCCATTGAAATGCCTTGGAATTTTTTAAAGGAAGAGGATCGTTAAAATTTTAATGTTTGTTTTATGAACTTCCAAGTCTCAAATTTATAAGAGATGCTTATGAATGCATCACATAGACAAGGTAAGTCACAATAATTTCATAATTAGTAAGAGATTTTCTTTAAAAAAAGAAAACTCAAATAATGTATTGCGGCTGAATATCATTGGATACATGGAGCTCATTTGTTTAAACTTCACAAAAAGAGTGATTTCAATTAAACTACGTAAGGGGATTGTTGAAAGAAATTTTGATAAAACAATCCAAATCACTCATCAAAATAACTGTGTGCGCGCATTCTCTTCCCAAACGCTCCTCATGTTTAGCCCAAGGTTCTCTCAAGACCTCCCTCGATTAGTTTAACCAAAACCTCTTTTGACCTTAAACCAAACGGGCCTAGAAACAAACAGTCGATTTGTAGCTCTTCTTGAGTTAGAAATCGTGACCCAAGTACTCTTATGCCACGGCGGAGCAAAATTCAAAACAAACATTTAGCCCGGTAACAAGAATTGCCATATTTTTATCTGAATCCTTTTTTTTTTAATGTTCAATAAGACGATTCCATGCCAGTTACGCAAATTGATAGAACAGAGCAGATTAACATTAAAAAAAAAAAAAAAGGAAAATCCCACTAAGATTGCCTTATCAAAAGCTAGCTTGCTGGTGAACTGAACGTTATGTGGTACAAGTACTACCTCCGACTTTTAATATAGGGATAATTAACATGCAAATAGTTATAGTTTCAATCAGGTTCTTATAATTTTTTATCAAGTTCTTATAATTTTTTCTTTTTATCAAGTCCTTATTATTTTATCTTATTTTTAATTAAGTTCTTGTAGTTTTTATTCTTCATTTTATAAATAATAATATTCTATAAATAATAACTTATTATAATAATCTTATGTTATATGTCAATATTCTTTTAAATTTTTAGTTAAACATTTATATTATTTATTTTTCAATTCTAATTTTTATAATTATAAAATTCAAATTATAATAATAAGATTTTCTAAAATTAGAATATAATTATAAACAATTTATAGTTAAGTATAATTGATTATTCTGATTAATTATTGATTACTAAATGATTATATTAATTATTTTGTCCAATTATATAATTATTAATTTAAAAATAAAATTAATTTTAAAGAATAAAGTTAATAAATAATCTACAAAGGACGTAATTAAAAATAAGTGAAACTATTAGGATCTGATACCAACAAGAGTTAGTCCAATTAGTAAGGAATTAGCTCATAACCCACAAGCTCATAAGTTTGAATTTGCTATCGATGTGAGAACCTTGTTAGTTAGCGAGCTATATATACTATGATGAATGTGCTAACTATGAATATGATGCCGGAAAAAGACCGATTTTCTATCTATATCACCCTTCAATTCGAATTAGCAAAAGCCTTTATAAACGCTCTCTGAGCCTGGAGACATATCCTGACCTTGACCCAACTCATCTAAACTTTAGTATATTAAAAAAAGATCTGATAAAAAGCAAAAAAAAAAAAGTAGAAGGATCTAATTAAAAACATGTGAAAGCAAAAAGATCTGATAAAAAGAAAAAAAATTTATAAAAACCTAATTAAAAATTAAATCAAACTATGAAGACCCAGAGATTAATTATCCGTTTAAAATAGCTAATTGAAAAAATTTGTTAAATTAGTTATTTATAATAAATATATATTGTCTTTTCTAAATACACTTACTAATCATATTTATTAGCTAGAACTAACTAATATTTGATAAAACCTTTAATATGAACAACTATTACAAGAACTATTTTGAAATAAATGAATAAATATAAGAAACAAAACAGATTGAAATCTTATATTCAAAATAAAATTAAAAATCCAACTAATTCTTATATTAATAGTTAAGCAAACAAATGAGAAATTCAGAAGCGTGGCCACCATCATTCAATTCCCCTGCCATAACACACCCTGGGTTTGTCTTCACAGTCTTCAGTCTAAGCCAGCATCAAATAGACGCTTCAGCAAGCTTGCTTTCTTTTTCTTCTCCCCTCCCCCCCCCCCTCTCTAAACAAGTTATATATATCTGCAAATTTTGCAGTTTCGGCCGGGGAGATCTTCAATCTCAATTCCAATCTCACTTTCGTTGATGATATATGCGAATGAGTCGCTGGTATATGCGTCTCTCTACCGGCGGTGTAATGAATAATTGGGAAAGAATTGCAGGAAAACGCCACAGATTGCAAGATTTTTTTTTTCCCAACTAAGGCAAGCACTTGACATTACAATAATAACATACCATAATTTAAAACTCATCCCTACCCATTTTAACGTTCCCATGCTTATCCCCATTCCCATGAATTCACTAGCCATAAGTTAATCACTTCACTTCAAAAAAATTATGTAAGTATATTAAAATAATCGATAGAGGTCAAATTGCATATGTCAAACAATTGACTGGTAAAAGGCTGCTGGATATTTGTTTAAATGCCGCTATCACTGTATTATATGAGAAGCCAGTCCAGAAATGTCTTGAATAATAGTGATACAACGGGTCTAAAACCCGTCCACTCAATTATATTTGGATTTGGAACATGTATGGCTGATACAGAAAGGCTATCACCCGCACAATACATGGGTGCAAACATAAAATTACCCTCAACTATTAATTACTAAGTACGAGCAAATTTAAGATGCCAAAAAACATCGCCAGACTTGTTGCTGTCAATTATGCCTCAACGCCTCCCTCTTTTTACCAATCCAACATTTACGTCCTGCCCACTGTCGGAATATTTCATAATTGATTCAAACAAATTAGAAAACAAACTCACAAATATAGTACTGCAGCGTAATATTCATCGGTACTTTTATCCAGGCAGGTACGAAGATTAAGGGCGAAGTGATTTCGATTAAGCCAGCACATGAGGGAGTCGTTGAGAGAATTTTAAGTTAAGCACGAGCGGTAGCTAGAAGAAAATTTTTTTGAGCATATTTTGCTGACCTAACCACAATCACTGATCAAAATAATCAGAAAAAACATTTTCTACCTACATCCCCACTTATTTAGCTAAAGGTTCTATCAAAAACTCCATCGTGTAGTTTAATCAAAATCACCTTTTAATTAATCTTAACAAACAGTCCCTAAAAAGCTAGTCTGTAGATCATCTTGAGCTAGAAATTGTGAGCCCTGGTAATTCATGCCATGGGGGATCAAAATTCAAAACAATCATTTCGCCTAGTAAAAAGATACAGAATTGCAATATTTTCATTTGAATTATTTTAATGTTCAATAAGTTGATTCCATATCAGTTAAGCAAATTGATACAGAACAGATTAAAACAAAAGATCCACTACTGGAACATCAACAAGCAATTTAGCAGCATATGATACAGCAAAGCAGTTGAGAAGTTCCTCACCTCAATTCAAAATTGTTTCAAAATTAAAAACCAGTGACTTTTCCCACTGCAACAGTTTTTCCTGTAAGAAGAGGCAAGCCTTGAGACGAACAAATATTGAATATCAGGAACAAATTTTCAAGTGAAGGAAAACATCACTTCTTACCTTCCGTGCGAAGAGTAAACCTTCCAAGTTGGGGGAAATCAGCAAATTTTTCAACGCATATCGAATTGTTAACCTGTGAAAAACGTTTTAATTATCAAACTAAAGAAACATCTAAAAATTAAATTACCATCAGCAATATATTCTTATATGGAACTCCAAAATCATCATGCCCAAGCAGCAGGAGGTAAGAACCTCGTTTAGCACTCAGACACTAGCTCGGTCAAATAGTTTCCGCACATAGCAACACAAAAGTTATCAAACAGGAACATGTTCCAAATTGACAAGGCAATAAAATGCACCTGAACTCGGCAGACAACAACAGCACCATTCTTCACAAAGAGAGGTTTCTTTTTCATAGGTTTCTTCAACTTTGGATCAATTTGTTGTAGGAGCTCAACAATCTCACATTCTTCAACAACACAGTGGATGTGCAAAACAGCCTTGTATCCAGCAGTAAAAATAGCCTAGAAAGTGATGTAACAGCCGTTAATCTTAAATATAACTGTAAGTACTGCCTAACATGTGCATGTTGCGCTGAAATCCAAAAACTAACACCTAGATGAGAGATAATAATTTACATTGTCCACCAATTCAAGGATCTGCAGCTGAGCCACAAACTCAGTAACAGCTGGTATTGGATTTTCTGCAAGAGGAAAAATAAAAACAAAAAATCAGATCAAAATATGAACAGCAAATGGATAGCCATGTTTGGAAAAAGAAACAGCAGTAAAGTACAGGAAACCATATTCAATTAAGTAAGATCCCATTCATGCAGATTTGAAATCCAAGTAATACAAAGTGCATTTCTTTATTCACAAGGTGAAAGCAAAGGAATGGTGCATCAGCAATACTGGTAGAAGCTACATGACAGAGTCTGAGAACAACTCATGGGTATAGTCAATTTTTTCATATCAGATGCAGAGATTAAAAAAATGAACAATAAGACAGATCAATTGTTGCCCAATTTTGGCACAATTGAAATTGATGGTGATCCTATTTTCTAGATTATTCTACTCTCACTGGACAGAACAAACCACGACAAAAGGAACCAAGTGAAGGGAGCAGAAAATGCTTACCAACGCTAGACAGAATGAACCCGCCTAGTATGTCTTCTTCTTCAACACCAGATATTCTAACTCGTAAATTCTCACCAGGTCCAGCACGTTTGACCCTATCTTCATCAATGAATACAGCAACAACTTTTACGTGATCCTGCAATTTTTTTGGGAGCAATCCATGTTTATCAAGTTACCAAAGCTCACAACTCAAGGATTATTCGCGAGCAGAATAAAATCCAACCTTATTTGGCATAACCAACAAGGAATCCCCCTCACGTACAGTACCAGATTCCACTTTTCCCATAACGACAGTTCCCATGTCTTTGAATTTGTCAAGAATAGGCATCCTGTTCAAATCAGAAGTTCAACAATACCAAAGAAATTGATCATCCAAATTTTTCTAAGAGGAAAAAGACTATAAATTAGCAGCGTGACCCATGAGAAATCAACAAAAACATAACATTAACAGCTGATGCAGCAAGAACATAAAGGCAATAAACACAAACATTTAAATCTTCTAAAATCAGCTTTTATAGCTTTCAAAGAAAATCTTCTAGTAAAGCAGCAAGGTCTCACAAACTCAAGACAATCACAGTCACCAACCAAGAAAATTCTGTGAACTTAACTGGTCATGATGGAAAGATTTACTGCATTTGAAATTTAAAGACAGAACGTATGAACTGCACATCTACACAAGAAACCATGGTACTAAAAATGGCACAAGAATAACAGACACACACACACAGAGAGAAAGAGCGTCAAACAACACAGGCAGATGTTGCATTGATGACCTTGTATGATTATTCTTGAATTTATCCCTGTACCTCACTATGATGGATTTTTTCCCCTCTTTTCTTTTGTACTCTATCTTCTCTCAGCATTAGAATAAGCAACCAACAATGGCATGCTCACACACAGATACATGCTTGGATGAGAAAAAGGCCAAAAAGAACTTGAAAAACACGACAACTTTCCCAGTTGCTAGAATACACAATGACACTTCATGCAAACAAGGTAAAAGATACATTACCTGAAAGGGCCTTTGGGGTCTCGGGGCGGACTTTCAACACCATCAAGGGCTTCAAATAGGCAGGGACCATCCCACCAAGCACAAGTGCTTTTATCCACTCTCGTTTGTATGTTTGCACCAGTCAGCCCAGATAAGGGTAAAAACAGGACATCTGGCAAATTAAAACTTGTAAATTAAGCATCACATCCCTAACCATTCAAATGTCAAACACCTAAGAATGACATCAAATATTTTATTAAAATAATTTCTTTAATTTCTTTAATAGGGGTTTCACAGCCATTTTCACAAGCTTTTCAAGTAGCTCGCCATTGAGATAGCCGCAAAACAGTAATAATTAAATAAAAATATAGATTTAAAAGCATATTTTAATTTAAAATTTAAATTTAAAAAAAAAACCACTATGCAGAACAACCTGAAAGGCCTCAACCCTAGTTCCTTACACCAGATAAGCAGCCGCTCAATAAAGTTCACGTTCAACATTATGATAAAGAATCTAGTAAACTTTATACCAAAGAATACAGAAGCAAGTCCCCGGGTCAAACCCTTCAACTATTTCCTTCACTACGGAAATATATTTGGAAAAATCACAAAAAAAAAAAAACTTCGAAACAGGAAAATTGCAAATAAAGATTCCATGACAATATTAGTCTAGGTTTTGACAATAATTTTTATGAACAGGTCCCTGTGTGCAATTTTTCAATTTCCAGGGTCTTTTTTTGCATTTTTCCCAATATACTTTGATTCAGTTAAAGTCATCATTATGCTCTCACCCCCAAAAAAGAGTCATCACTATGAAATAAATCCTGCACCACACTAAGCGAATAATGCTACATCAGAAGCTTCTATAAAGGCAACTGGCAGTGTAAAAGTTACAGGATCTATTAACTCTAGATCAAGCAGTTAGAGCAACCAACAACAGAAAAATAGTGAATGGAAGTGTAAAAACAGGAATGAAGGGAGAACACACACCCATCATATTGTCAAAAGAAAGTGAAAAAAACTACAACAAAACACCGATACCTTTCTTCACATTGTAGCCCGACGACTTAAGAAAAGGAATCATCTTTGACTCAATTTCATCATACCTAGAAACACAACAAAGGTAGCAAATCTCTTAAAAAACAGAAGTGAAGAAACGAGGAGGAAATAGAGTGGGGGCATGAGAGGCCACCTTTCCTTTGACCACTTCACTGTAGGGTCGTCCATTTTATTAATAACAACAATCAGCTTAGACACACCCAATGTTTTTGCAAGCTGGACATGTTCACGGGTCTGTCCACCTCTTTCATATCCAGTTTCAAATTCTCCCTTTCGAGCAGAAATTACCTGGCAAAATAGGGAGAGATCCTCACGTTTGCTAATCAAGCCCTACCAAAGATCAAGATACCAAAGATCGAGAGTGAGATTGACATATCATAATCCACTTACCAAAACTCCAATATCAGCTTGAGTTGCACCACTGATCATGTTGGGGACATAGCTTTTGTGACCCTACACAATAATTATTGAGGTGAGACAAAAGGGGTTGTGACCGGGACATTCATCCATTTAAAAGCATCCAGATTTCCAAGAGAACATCATCATCATCAACAACAGTAACATAAAGCAACTACGAACCTTATCCTATTACACGTCTGCTCTATCAACAACTAACTCTTTAATCATAGATCAGTAAATCCCTTTCAATAACTTCCATGAGGATCCTTCATGGTCTTCCACCTACCTCTTTTCCTAGGGCTAAAGATCATCTACCCAAACCTCTTCACAAATGCCACTAGTGACTTTCTTTGCACACATCCAAGCAATCTTAAACAACTTTCTGCCATTATCTCCTTGATAGATGCCACGCCAATTTTTCCTCATACATAATTCAACTTTTCCTCTGCTGAAGTGCAGCTATTCATAATGGTCGCATGGCTGTGAGCAGCGTGATGTTTACATATTTCATCTCTATTTTCTCACGTCAGTTTGTGATAATGGTCTTAAGGGGTACAAGGGCTATTTGGTTTTATCATCTGAGTATAAACAGAACAACACAGACTAGAATCCTTACGAACTCAACAAACTCACACAGGGCTGCATCTTCTAGGCAGACATGCCCAGCTTATTGATTTTTTTTCCTTTGAAATAAGAGGAGATATCCAAATCAGCTTTGAGGCGCTTCTCAGCAACTCGTTCCTTTTCCACAACTCTAAAAAAGATGACATGCCCAGTTTCTTTCTTTTTTTAATTCCTTCTGGTATTGTGTGGACATAATTATATTTTAGCTTTGTCATCATTCATAAAGCAAAGTGTCAAAACTTATTCAGCGTTTAGGTTGTATTAAATTATTTTAAATTACTTCAACGTTGCCTCCTTGCCTCAACATTGGCCATAGCAGCCAACAGGATGTTTTTGGGGCTTGGTACTGCACAGCATTCACGACACCGGAAAGAACAGTATGGGTTAGGCAGGAATGCGCAGGGAATAGAATATCTTAATGGTGAATTACTTTTAAATTCCGTTCCTCTAGTGCTTCCATGCCCTTCCGTGGGCCAAATATTTGATGAGTTTATACACATTCTAATTTTCATGATTCTCTAACTTTAGGGTGGACTGATGCCAACCATCATCTCACAAAGCCCGCCCCAAAATGTCAAACAGTAAACAAAGAAAATTACCTTTCCCTTTAATCCAAAACGAAAATAATTCCAAGAAAGGAGAAATATAAATATTGCAGCAGAGGATAACATGCAATCCATATGAGAGGGTAACCAAACAAAAAGAACAAGACACATCAACTTTGTGTACATGCCTCAGAAAAACTAGCTTCTATACCTGAGAACTGTTTTAGAGAATCTTCAATTTCATAGCACGTAAAACAAATTGAATAACAATCACGAAATATAGATACTCACAGGTGCATCCAAAATTGTAAACCTTCTTTTTTCTGTCTCAAAATGCGCTCTTCCCACTTCAACCGTTTTGCCCTGCAATTGGGACATGTTAAAAAACATAAAACCAGAACTAAACACATTGGGCAAAGCATTCAACTCCTAATAGCTAATAAATACATAGCTCATACCTTTACCCTCTCCTCTTCATTAGTGTCCATTATATAAGCCATATACCTAGCATATAGAACCAGCAGTTAATCATATGAGCATCTATATAATGCTAGAAAGATAGGTAGTAGGAAGGTAGATACACAGACAAATAGATAAATCAACATCCTGTATAATTGGAGAGCTAAGAAATAAATCTTCCTCCTAAAAAGCAATAGGATGACCACAAAACTCAATACACAAAATGCAGTAAAAATAACATAAACAGATAAAATAAGCAAAGCCAGAAACTACACGAACATGGAAGTTAGATTTCCCCAAAGACCAAACAAAATTTACAATTTTATGTATTCATTTAATCATTTAATATGTTTTACTTGAACTTGATTTCATTTCGTACTCCTCTGCTTTTTCTTCCTTGGTCAACTAACATATTCTCGTCCATAACAATGCACTACAAAATAGCATGTCTAGACAAAACAATGTAAAGTAGCAGACACCAAACAATTAAACCATGCAAAACGTTGTTCAACAGAAAATCATCATCATTTAAAAATATCTTCACTTGAAAAGACCATGAAGCTAAAAACACAGAACACTGGTGGGTTCTTCCTCATCCAAACCAAATGAAGATGCGGGCTTGAAACTTTTCAGAAAGAAAAAATGCGTTGTTTTAGAAGCCAACCACAGAATAAATGAGCTCACCAACTTTCTCTACTTTTGTCCTTTGCTTCTTTTTCATATTTTTGGATAGTACGTTCATCAACCTGACCACTTAGGAAAAGAATCTGGCCTCCAGTCGTAGACTTACCAGCATCTGGAACAAGAAGTTAAATAAGATATTACTGATGTTAAAAGAAAAACCAGAGGATTAAAGGTATTGAATATGCACAATTACAAAATACAGGTAGACAAAAGAAAAATTCCACAAGAAGCCAAGATTTTATTTCTTAGGACAATCACCAATGATAATTAGTAGGAATCATTCCACTCAAGTACATTCTTGTATCCAATTTATATTTTAAACAAACAAAACTTTCTTAGAATGCAGCAAGCAGAAGGGTTTAATCAAATCCCTCTAGTAGTCCCAAATCAACATCTAAAATAAATGTGACACGCATAAAAAACGCTGAAAACAGACAGCAACAGATATAATATGAAAGTGAGCCAAATTTTCATTTTCAACTAACACCTGCCAACACTATAAAACTTGTAAATTTCATTCCTAGACAACCCACCACAGTATGAACTAAGTGCATGTTTGCGAGAACCCTCAAAACCAAGGTTTCAGCCCAAACCATGGTTTCAAAAGAAGAGTAGCCAAACAAGGGTCCAAAACCTAGAAGAGATTTTGATCCCCCAAAACCATGGTTTTTGAATGACTGGATTAGCTTTTAGAAACGATTTTATGGTATGGAGCTTTCCAAACACCACCTTAAGCTGGGCAGAATAGCTTTTAACCCCAAAACCATGGTTTTCACCAAAACCTCTTGTAATCCAAGCATGCTCTTAGTGAAACACACAAGCCAGTAACCCAAAGCTGTGTATGTGAGCCAAGACATGAGATGCCAGAAATATTACACTCATTCTAATCCATCCTGCTCTTCATCACTAACTTACCAACACCTCACCCCAATCCAGCCATACAGGCAGGAGCCGAAATAATTTTGACCAATAATTTTCCTCTCTACGAACTCACCCTGCTGAGTTACATGCTCTGATGACTAAACCGAGGCTTTGGCAAAGGATGTAATTGTGGTGGTGAAAAGGCCAGCAAAGCAGTAAATTGGCCATCAAAGATTTGGTGACATATGCTATGTTAAGCACATCTTCTTATAGTCCATTAGACCTATCTTGGATTTGTTTATTAGGATTTTGGACTTTTTTACCGTATATCAGTTCAATTCAGCCAAGTTTCACTCTATATTCACCAGGTTTAGCACCTATTGGTGTCCAATGGCCATAGCATACACAATATACTCATTTTTCTCAGATATAGGGCATTTGATAACACGAGATGTAACTTGGTTTAAAGGCAAGCCTGCCCATGCTAGCCCTACTCCCATCATATTTTTCTGCTCCTGTCCGCAATGTTATAATCCTAATTTTCGATTCATCCCGACAAGCCTAAGCAATTCGCCTCACAAGCATATTAAAACCCAAAACTTTTGAATTCAAACTCCTTAATTTTGCTTCAAGATAAAAATTCCAGTGAATATAAATTAAAATCACCAATATTTCACTTGATAAACTTCAATCGCACCTTTAAATGAATCCCTATACCCTTTTCTTGCTTTTTCTCAAGTACTGACAAAGATATTTACACAAATTTTCCAATGTTTCCCCAGTTATATTCTCAATAAGCAAAACATTTCATATTCCTTTGAATCTTTGATCAACTTTGACTTTCATAACACTGCAGCCAGACCAAGATTTGCCATGCGTTCACACCAAAATACACAGAACCACAAGAAAATACCACTGCAAAGCAAATGCTGAAGCTACAGGCTGAAAAAATAGAACCATAAAGCAGAAAAGCTATGTTACAAATAGAGAGAAAGGGGAATGCAAGACTTTTCAACTAAGGCAACAGACATGATAGGCACAGATGGCACATCATTCAGCCAACCAAAAGACCAAGAGAGCAATTGGAAGCACAATCATATGAACTACTGCGAACCCATATAATGATTAAAGAACCTTGCAAGCAACTTACCAACATGACCAATGAACACAACATTCAAATGGTTTTTCTCATCTGTTATCAGATCGTCTTGATCTTCCACTGAAGGAATTTCCTTATCTGTCAAAACATTAGTAAATGCCATCAGCATAAGAAAATGGAAATTCCAAATTTAATTAACAGAAACTTGTCTAATTTTGTGATAAAAAATCCAAATGCAACTATGTGAGCAAATGACTTGCTAAAAGTGAAACGTCCCAATTACCTTTAGGCTGAGAATGGGCAGGCTGTGCCTTAACTTCACGCTTTGGACCTGAAACTAACAAGGTGAGAAAAAAAAATTAGTATGCTTTTCACCTATAGTTCAAGTTTAGCAACCATGTGAGCGTGGGTGTGTGGTAAAGCAAGAGGCAGCAAGGATCAAGGAAACCACGCAACAAAGAATGCAGAGCTATTACAATTTCTAGGTCTCCTCACTAACGTAAGCAAGAAATAACTTACTACCAAAAGATACAAAATCACTTCGACAACAAATTTAGAATTGTCAGGATGGACGTAGATAAGAAGCTTACAAATAGTTAGAACCACAAACTTCTCAAAAAAATCCAAAACGATAAGCAGCTCCTATGGTGCTAAGTCAGTAAGCAATGACAGTTATACTTGGCATAAACTGGATGTAGCCATTGAATATACTACTTGGCATAAATTGAATGTAATATATACAGACAACCTTTGCTTGCCATCTATCAAGCAAATTTAATTATTCATTCAAAACCTAGTGAGATGAAACAAACCAAAGCAAGAACACTTTCCATAAGCTGGCATTTGCCCCAAAAAAACTGCATAAAGAAGTGCATACAAGTTTTTTCAAACCTATAACTTTCTTTTTTAATAACCCCCTCCCAAAAAAAAATTGCCAGTTTGGTGACACATTCCTTGATCAGTGATATTGACTAGTCTCTAAAGTGACCAGTAAACTTAGGTCAAGGAAAAATAAGTGACCAGAAAGCGATTAAATTAAAAAAAAACAACGAACAGTGGTGATTATAGAAGCATTCCTAAGTCAAAAAGGGTTAAAGTTCTAAAATACAACACGTTTTATAGGGACTAATCAAGGGACGAAAGGTGCTATAAGGGAGTAAAATAGCGTATAAAATATCTTCGAAGCAAAGCTATAAAATAGCGCATAAAATTCATGCGTGTGAAAGCAAAAGCAGGTTGATCTCAAGAAATAAAGCTTCGAAGCAAAGCTAGAGAATGCGGAAAGAAATGGGATCGAAGGGAAAAGAAATACAGAAATAAGTCTTATAAGTATAAATTATGTTACTTTTCGAGACAGATGAAAATTGTATTTCGAACGGATCAGAAACAAAAGGATAGGTAAGGAACTAAAAGCAAAAGAACCAACCACATTTTTACTACCAACCTTCATCCATCTTAGCAGAATTCTCAACTTCTGGCTTTGCCTCCTCCGGATTAACAACACCATTATTGTCTTCTGTTAAATCTCAATAACAGGTTGGACTCAAAAGATTCAAAAAATAGAAAAGAAAAGCGCTAAAACATAGTAAAAACAAAGAAAATGAAAAATTCAACATGCCTTTCGATTACCTGTTGAATCAAGCTGTAGAGAACGGATGTCCTCCTCAATATCTACCATTAAAAACAAATTGAAAAGAACATTGACATCAACACCCCAAGTTCCTCACAAATTTATAAATCAGTATCCGACTACTAGCACAGTCATAGTAGCTAGATCAGTATGACACAAACAAAAGCCATGCCAAAACAAGAAAAGACGCAGTTTGATTGTAAGTCGATCACCCTACTAATCAACCCGGCGATAAATGAAGCCCCGGAGACGGAAACGAACACGGCAACAACAACGGAGAAAATAACCAATGGTTTTTCAAAAATCACCAAAAGATGACCCGAAGCATATTCATGTGAATTACAGCTAACGCACAGATCAAATACCAATTTCGATAAAATATAACCATGCAGATCTAAAACAGATTAATTTCAAGAGATGAATGGATTGAATAAGAAAGAAACAGATAAGCACATATTCGATATGGCAGAGAAATTACGTACCCATGGTGAGAGGACACAGAATTCTCAGAGACAAAGGTTGTAGTGAGCACGCAACTAGAGCCCGAGAAAGCGAGCAAAAAAGGGCAGACGGTGTGTGGGATTTTGTTCTGGAAGGTACTGCGCTATGCTGCTCTTTTCTCCCGCCCGGTCCGAGTTCGACCACAAGATCCGGTTATTCTCCCAAGCCGACGCGTTCCTTCTCCGCGGTAAACATGTCCTAGGGTTTTTCTTTACCGCGTGAAGTAACACATTTCCATCACACCTTGGAGGGATATTTCCCTTGAGACAATTGAATGAAAAAATATTAATTTGAATTAGTTTGTGTTCTTAAAACTACTCAATCTTTACAAAATTATCTTTAATTAAAAATAATGGATTCTAACATAATTTGACCCATATATGTCGCTCCATTTATTTATTACAATCAATTGTCTATAATCTATATTAAGAACATTACTAAAAGAAGCATCAATAGCTTTATTAGTTTTGTAAACCAATCTATAATTCTATACATATAATTAAGAATATAAAAACTTTTGGAATGTGACTTAAAACTTGGAATGGAGGAACTATTGTTGTTGGTATGGGAAAAATACATACTATCTCTTATCTTAAGCATAAGACCTTGTTTATAGTTTATAAATGAGGTCTTATAAATAGGACCGATGGTAGTATTACATATCTAATATTCAGTAGTATCCATATGAATTAATATTAGTGTAAGCGCACTAATGTGTTGTATATAAAATATAAGTCATAGTTATCAAAAAAAAAATTATAAGCTGTAAATTTATAGGAAGTCGTTTTTTAACATTTACAATTTTATACATAAATAACCTCTCTAACATTTAAAACTAATAATAAATCCTCTAACTTTTCAAGTCTATACAATAACCCCACATTATATCAATTGTATACCCTCAAACTTTTATTTTTCATGTGCACATAATATAACCCCCTCATTTTAAGTTATATACAAACAAATTTCTTAAACTTCAAATCATTTACAAATAAATAATAAATACAGTTCATAGTAAGAAAGTTGTCTGCATATGTGTAAAACAGTAAGAGTTTAAAAATATTTATTATAAAATAAAGTTATTTACATATGACATGAATTTCATGGGTTTTTTCGTATTATCATACCATTATTGTAAGATTATGTGTAATTTTTTCATTATCTTACCTTTTTATATCTTTCTATTGAATTTCAATGTTACAAAAATAAATGTAATTTTTTCAAAACATTTAGGTTCAGTTAGGTATGACGCATTTTTAAAAAAGAGGTAAGGATTTATATCACAATTGAGAAAACCTATTTAAATAGTATTGGATATAAGAAATTGCTTGTTACTTTTTTTTGCTAAAGCATAGGTATCCTTCTATTAGAGATAATTTTATTTGAGGTACTATTAATTACTAAATATAAGCATCTTTTCTAACGGATAAATTATTTATTATGTGTGATTAGACAAATGTATATATGCGAGGCGCACCTGTTTACCGAGACTTTTCTTCAATACTCGGGCAACCCAAACTTTGGCAAAGGAAAGGGGCCCTGCTTTCGAGCCCTCATTGTTGATTGTCGATGAGAACATTAGAGGGCCCAATAGCCTATTCATAAAAACATAGGAAAAAAGGTTTGGTGTGAGAAAAGGAAAGATGACAACGACAGCAACAGGTACATGTTGAACTTCAAAATAACAAAAAGATAATGTTGTCATATCAAAATCTTTACAACAATAGTTACTACTTTTACAAGAATAGTTAGCATTACTTATTTGATATTTTAAAATTTAATAGGTATTTTATGATTATTTTTCTTATGAAAAATAATTCTCTTAATCCGAGTTAGCATGGTCAGTTTTTGGTTTTTTTTTTTTGTTTCAAGTTAGGAAGTTTATTTTTCATAAAAACAAAATAAGATGTAAATTGTCTTGGGAGATCATCAGTCAATTTGAATTAAAATGATTTGAGGAGTTGTGTTTTCATTAGATGAAATTTACGTAATGCATGACTCTTAAATACTATATCTGATCCTTATATAAGAGTTATCTGAAGATTGAATTTAGTCATGAATATAAAACCTCAATCTAATTTGTCCCTCAAATTTATAATACATTTTTTAAAATCTGGTTGCTCATAATCTTCCTTCAAATTTGTCCAACACATCTCTGATTGATAATGTTAATCGTGAGGATTGGACTATAGCTCTTCACATAATTAAATTGCGACAAAGGAAAATGGCGGTCATGGGTTTCTTTTCAAGGTCATCCTCTACAATCTTTTCAATGGATTGCAAAAAATAGAGGAGGCATTGTCCTTTTATTTCTATCATTTTTTTTCCTTGGCTAAATGTTGAAGTTATTAGCTCTTTTCATGCATCTTTTTTTGATTTATAGGTACTTATAGATCGCTCACCAATAATATTATCATATTAGTAGCAAAATTCAAACCCACGACTTTGTGAGTTATGAATTAACTTTTTATCAACTAAACTAACTCTCAGTGGCTGGTTATTTCTATTCCTCATATCATAATACATTCTTTCCACCAAATGCCGGTAATATGGCCTAAGCACATTGGTGGACGACTAACTCTTTCAAGCACTATTCTCTTTAGGACCAGACTTGGAGGTTTAGATCAAAAAAGACTCCTCGGCCCGCCTTTATAAGCTCTTGAAAAACAGACTTTTCGAGGAGAAAACTAGGCCTGGGCCCAATATTAATTTTTTTAATCTGAAAAATTGAAACTAATGACCTAAAAATATAAACATGATTAAATACGTCACTTCCTACTTGCAAGACCAACAACAACAAGCCTTATCCTACTAGGTGGAGTTGGTTATATGAATCACACGATGCCATTGTGCTCTGTCAACAACCCAATCTTTAGATATGTTGTTGACCAGGAAGTCTCGTTCAATGATCTCATTGAGCGTTCTTCTCGGTCTTCCTCTGCCCCTTTTTATGAGACTCCATACCGTCTAATCTACCCTCCTCACCGAGACCTTGAATAGTCTTCTCTGCACATGTCCAGACCATATTAAGAGATGTTCAACCTTTTTTTTTTATAGATGTCACACCGACTCTTGTTCTGATATTTTCATTTTGAATCTTATCTTTTCTTGTATGACTACACATCCATCTCAACATCCTCATTTCTACTACCCCACTTTGTGCTCTTGTTTTCTCTTTATCGCCTAACATTTACTACCGTACAACATAGCTGGTCTTATAACAGTCCGATATAATTTTTCCTTAAGCTTCTCATGTACCTTCTTATCGTAAATAACTTTGGTAGCTTTCCTTCACTTTAACCAGCCAGCTTGTATTCTATGAGAAACGTCTCTATCAATTTCACCATCCTCATGCATAATAGATCCTAGGTATTTAAACTTTGATACTTGAGGAATGACTTAATCCCCCATCTTTACCTCCAAATCACTATGACCTTGCCTCCCCCTAAAATTGCAATGTATATATTTTGTTTTGTTCCTGCTCAAGCGAAAACCTTTCGACTCTAAAGTCTTTCTCTATGACTCCAATCTTGAGTTGATCTCTTCTTTTGATTCTGTCATGAGGACTATGTCATCCATGAAAAGCATACACTTAGAGATTTTTTTTGAATAAGCTTAGTTAGAACGTCCAGAACAATATTAAACAAGTAAGAACTCAAAGAAGATCCTTAATGTAGGCCAATCTTAATGTGGAAGCCCTTTGTCTCACCTCCAAGTGTTCTTACACTAGTAGTTACCCGCTCATACATATTTTGTATGGCTTTGATATAAGCAACCTGTACACTTTTTTTTCCAAAGCCTTCCAAAGTTCTTCTCTTGGCATATGATCATAAGTTTTTTTCAAGTCAATAAAAACCATATGTAAATCCCTTCTTTTACTCCTGTATCTTTCCATTAACCCCTTAGTAAATAGATTGCTTTAGTTATGGATCTTCCTAGTATAAATCCAAATTGGTTTTCTGAAATAGAAGTCCCTAACCTCAACCTATGTTCAATTACTTTTTCCCACAACTTCATCATATGGCTCATAAGTTTTATTCCTCTGTAGCTTGCACATTTTTTAATATCTCCTTTATTCTTGTAAATAGGGAGCGTGAAATTTCATTAAAAAGCTTGGTTAGCCACAGTTCACTCTTGTTACATAAACATTTCCAAACTTTAATAGGAATACCATCAGGCCTAACGACTTTACCATTATCCATTTTCTTGAGAGCTGCCTTAACCTCTCCGATACGGATCCTGTAGTAAAAAGCTAAATTCTGATTATCTTCGCTAATTAGCAAATCCTGTAAGTTCTGAGTCGCACATTTGTTTCTCTCATTAAACAACTTGTAAAAGTAAGCCTCTCATATGTCCTTAATATCACCATCAATAACTAAAACTTTACCATCTTCATCCTTTATACACTTCACTTGGTCTAGATATCTCTTTTTCCTCTCCCTTTGCTTTGCAATCTTGTAAATATTTCTTTTCCCCACTTTTCTCTAGCCAGTCCCAAGCCTAGATAAAGGAGGAGGGTTGTGTTAAGCCCTAAATAGCCAATATAAAAACTCGTTGAATCTCATGAATATGGATCCTGCTTGTAAGACCATTTGCCCTGTGAAAGTTAGTTGTTTTTCCTTGTAAATAGAATAGCTTTTATTCATTGTTTAGTGTATATGGGCTTATTTTCTGGCTAGGCCGTATTGCTTAATATAGGCCCTCTTGAGATGTTGTTTACTTTCTGTTGTAATCTTGGGCTCTATAAATCAAAGTCCCTACTCAGGATTGATTTGAGTCCAATAGATATATAATTGTTTTTCCCAAATTAATGAAGTCCCCCATTTTTGTTTGGTGTGTTAGAAGGGTTGGGGGGTTCTCACATGGTATCTGAGCCGAAGGTTTTCCTTCTACCTTCATGTAAGCCCTAGAACCAAGTCCAGTTTCTACCCTTTGCACCAGTGAAACCCTAATGGCAGAAGACAAATCAGCTAAAGAAAACCTACCATTTTCACATCCTTTGTTCTTGCATCCATTCGACACATAGAGGGGTTCGATCATTCATCATGTCCTCACAGGCACCGAGAACTACATGGTATGGAGTAGAGCAATGAAGATTGCACTGATAGCAAAGAACAAGCTAGGTTTCATGGATGGAGCCTGTAA